CCAGCATCCCCACCCTGCCATTCCCAGCATCCCCATCCTGCAATGTGTCAGTGATAGGTCCATTCCTTGCGTCTCATATCGGGGACGTCCATGGGAGGAAGCTCGGGATACCTCAGCAGCTCCCCGCACGTCACCTCCATCTGGACCGGTCCCGGGGAAATTGTCATCTGCTGGATCTTCCTGACCGGCTCAGTCACAGGGTTGGAGATGAAGGATGAAGTGTGTCCAAGTCAAAGAGACCCACACGTATGACACTGGCGTGTCCTATGACCCGGATGCAATACACTAAGAGGAGATTGCTGAGGTCTGGGCCCCGCAGCAGCCAGGGACCCCTCTGCAGAGGCTGGAAAGCGATATTGTGCATCGGGTTCTATCCAAAGCTAAGAGATCTTTCAGAACTTCCAGAAACCTTTATCCAGTGTGTCCAACAGGCGGACAATTCCTACCTGACCCGGATGGTGAGCATATCAATTCCCCGATCAATCCCCCCCGTACTGTCCTGGTGAAGGGACTGCAATCCCCCCCGTACTGTCCTGGTGAAGGGACTGCAATCCCTCCCGTACTGTCCTGGTGAAGGGACTGCAATCCCCCCCCGTACTGTCCTGGTGAAAGGACCGCAATCCCTCCCGTACTGCCCTGGTGAAAGGACCGCAATCCCTCCCGTACTGTCCTGGTGAAAGGACCGCAATCCCTCCCGTACTGTCCTGGTGAAAGGACCTGCAGTAATGGGGTCCTGTACAATGGCTGTGACCCCCAGTGGTGTGACTGATGGGAGGGCAGTAATGGGGTCCTGTACAATGGCTGTGACCCCCAGTGGTGTGACTGATGGGAGGGCAGTAATGGGGTCCTGTACAATGGCTGTGACCCCCAGTGGTGTGACTGATGGGAGGGCAGTAATGGGGTCCTGTACAATGGCTGTGACCCCCAGTGGTGTGACTGATGGGAGGGCAGTAATGGGGTCCTGTACAATGGCTGTGACCCCCAGTGGTGTGACTGATGGGAGGGCAGTAATGGGGGTCCTGTACAATGGCTGTGACCCCCAGTGGTGTGACTGATGGGAGGGCAGTAATGGGGGTCCTGTACAATGGCTGTGACCCCCAGTGGTGTGACTGATGGGAGGGCAGTAATGGGGTCCTGTACAATGGCTGTGACCCCCAGTGGTGTGACTGATGGGAGGGCAGTAATGGGGTCCTGTACAATGGCTGTGACCCCCAGTGGTGTGACTGATGGGAGGGCAGTAATGGGGTCCTGTACAATGGCTGTGACCCCCAGTGGTGTGACTGATGGGAGGGCAGTAATGGGGTCCTGTACAATGGCTGTGACCCCCAGTGGTGTGACTGATGGGAGGGCAGTAATGGGGTCCTGTACAATGGCTGTGACCCCCAGTGGTGTGACTGATGGGAGGGCAGTAATGGGGTCCTGTACAATGGCTGTGACCCCCAGTGGTGTGACTGATGGGAGGGCAGTAATGGGGTCCTGTACAATGGCTGTGACCCCCAGTGGTGTGACTGATGGGAGGGCAGTAATGGGGTCTTCCATGCATCCTGTTGGACACTCTTACCTTCCAGTTGGCCAGTTTCTGAGACTCTATGATCCTGATCACTGCGCCCATTAAAATTCCTGCCAATAAGGGAACAAAAGAAACTTAACCGTAACCACCGACTCCAGGACACACAACACGCATGACCCCCACCCCAGGACACACAACACACATGACCTCACCCCAGGACACACAACACACATGACCCCCACCCCAGGACACACAACACACATGACCCCCACCCCAGGACACACAACACACATGACCCCCACCCCAGGACACACAACACACATGACCCCCACCCCAGGACACACAACAC